TATACATATATACATATATACATATATGTATATATGCTTATATGCTTATATATATACATATATATATATGCTTATATACATAGTCAAACAGAGCTGCCGTGTAAACCGTAGGCAGAGAGGGACAAAAGGGAGAAGAGGACAACAAACGAGGGGCTGTGGCAAACTGTTTCGTCGGAGTTTCACCGACTGAAACAAGAAAAGGAAAAGAAGGAAAGCCCCACCTGTTCATCACCTCTTACGTACAAGGCCAGCCACGCGGATGACAGGTCGAGCGCTGGCTGCCCCCATCCCCGTGTGTCACAAGGACCCACTTGCACGCAGCCAAAAGGCAAAAAAGAGGTAAAGAAAAGGAGGAAACAAGACCTCACAGAGGCAAGAGAAAGAGAAAGGGATCCAATCAAAGACAAGACACAGGAGGAAAGCAAATGACACATCCCACAGACAAACCAATTGCCACTGTCAATACAAAGTTCACCATATTTCCTTCGTTTTTTTCTTTTTTCTCGTTTTCTTTTCTTCAGAAATTTATCCTTTTTCTTTCTTTTTTTCTTTTTTCTTTTTTCATTTTTTTCTTTCTTCTTTCTTCAACTCCACATCTGTTGGTAGTATCAAAAGCTCGTTCTCTCCTACAATTAGTGTTAGTCAAACAGAGCTGCCCGGTGAACTGTAGACACGGAGAAGAGGACAACAAAAGATACATATATATATATGCATATGTATATAGATATAGATATATATAGATACAGATATATGGTTAGATAGATACGTATATATAGAATGGTCCACCTCCTGAGGGTAGCAATTACACTACCTCAGGAGGCTTTAGTGTAAATGCCTTACAGTTAGCGTTCCACGGTCGCCACCTTCTTATGCATGATGCGAGGCAGGCAATGATGACCTTGACGACCATCCTCATGTTTTTGCCTGTATTTTGCACAGACCCAGGCATTATATGGCACTCGTTCGTGCAGCTGCCCAGTGGGAACTGTGGAATGGTGGGATGATGATTCAGGCTATTTTCAACCTAAATGAATTTCTGTGTGCATTGCCGAATCATACTTTATTCTGGATTATTCACCGACTCTCGTGTGACACCAGTCGGGACAGGGATGCGGCGGGTCTTGGCTGTGGAATTCATCACCTATGCCATCACCATCATCAATCTATTGCTGTGGAATTCATTATCTATGTCATCACCATTATCAATCTATTGCAGCTGCCGCCGTCCGTGCCGAAGGGTGTCCAACATTTCCTCGTTGTAAACATTCCCCTATCACCGAGATATTCATTGTCCCTCTTCTGCGCAAGGACGCTATCAGGACTGCACTATGCCGCACTGTGATGAACGTCCTGCTGTTTTTTTGACATGTGGACAACATCATGATGTCCTTTGTCAGGACTGTTTTGATGGGATGGTCCGTGCTAGCCGTCCTGCTGAATGCTGTGCTGAAGTAGCTCTCCTTGGGTACCCTTGTGAACATCCACGTCCTCCTCCTCAGCGTGCCTGCCCTATCTGCAGGGGTGGGCTGGAGGCTCCTCTTCCTGACTGGTCAATAGAATCAAGCAGGTCAGGAGCAACACTAATCGTTGTAGGACAGATAAAAGCTTTCTACACTACCAAAACAGATACGGATTTGAAGAAAGAAGAAACAAAAAATTAAAAAAACGAAAAAAAAAAAAGAGAAGTACAAAATTCTGAAGAAAAGAAAAATGAAAAAAAGAAGAAAGAAAAAAATATGTTCAGCTTTGTTGTGGTAGTGGCAATTGGTTTATCTGTGGGATGTGTCATTTGCTTTGTCTGACAGATAGGCCTTCCTCTTCCTTCGTCTTTTGTTTGACTGGATCCTTCTCTTGCCTCTCTGAGGTCTGGTATCTTCCTCCTTTTCTTTACCTCTTTGCCTTTTGCCTGCGTGCAAGTGGGTCCTTGTGACACACGGAAATGGGGGCAGCCAGCGCTCACCCTGTCATCCACGCGGCTGGCCTTGTAGATAAGAGGTGACGAACAGGCAGAGCTTTGCTTCCTTACGTTTTTCCTTTTTGTTTTGTCTTTTTCCGCCTTTGCGCTCGGATTCTATGGGCGGCCTTGTACGCAAGAGGTTCTGAACAGGGGAGTTGTAAGGAAGAAGATTAAAAATGAATCAAGCTTTTCTTGTTTTCCTTGTTTTCTTTCGTTTTTCGCTTCGGCGCTCTGATATCATGCGAATATATATATAGATACATATATACATACACATATATATATATATATAAACCGTAGGCAGAGATGGAGAAGAGGACAACAAACGAAGGGCTGTGACAAACTGTTTCGTCGGAGTTTCACCGACTGACTCGTCAGGAGGCTGACCCCTCAACAGTCTGCAGAATCCCCTACCTGACTGATTACACTGTAAGTGATAATCCACCTTAACCCCGACTGTGGTAAAAGCACCAACGACTGCCCGACAACTGATACCCCTCTGAGGTGGTGGGGACCACCAACCACTGCCCTCACCGTACTCGTGACGAAAATCAAACCACACTATCGCTCACCCACAACAGATGGACAACTGTACAGACTGCCGGTCCACACCCCACCACAAGCAAGCAAAACACCCACGAAACAAAGAAAGGTTTGTCACTGCCAAAAAATACACTTCAGACACGCCGCTGGCACTAGAGGCATATATATCGTCACAAATAGAACTGCCCGGTAAACCGTAGGCAGAGAGAGAGAAGAGGACAACAAACGAGGGGCTGTGACAAACTGTTTCGTCGGAGTT